AAAATCAGCCTAACCTTAAGTCCTTTGGGAAGGCAGTCACCAAACACTACGGTGTTCAAAAACCTCCTCATTACTATTTTCTTGGTACCAAATTGGGTAATAAGCTAAATACAAGGCTGAGACTAAAAACATCCGAACTCAATGCTCACCTCTTCAGGATTGGACTGACACAGTCTCCTCAGTGCAGATGTGGCTATAAAAATGAGGGGTCAAGGCATTTCATCTTGTTTTGCCAAATATTCGCCACCTCCAGAATTAAACTTATTCAAAACGTAGTCACAGTGTTTCCTGAGTTTATAAATATGACCGATTCTACGAAAGTAGACGTACTTTTAACAGGCTCATTTCTAACGGAAAGCCAACAGGCAGCTGTCGCTGCCTCCTTCCAGTCTTTCTTAATAGAAACAGGGCGACTCTAATCAGCGATTGCTCGGTTTTGGCGGGGCGGCATCTCGCGGGCTCCCTGGCGGCGGCCGCTGGAACTGCGCTTTTTGTCGGGTAGGGTCGTGCGGGGCGGCGCTGTTGTCGGCGGTGGCTTGGTTCGGCTGACCGGGAGAGGTGCCTAGACATAGCCCAGACATTTGGGCTGTGCACCAATCCCAGGACGTTCATCATGCCTATATATGTTGCACATATGTGAAATACAGATGAGATGAGATGAGATATGCAGTCAGCTATTCGGTTAGTTTAGGAGGCGTCGCGCCAATGACCGTCCAACATTATAAGGAGAACGTTCCGCTTGAGGCTAAAAGTAAATCGTCGACTTCATTTTATCCTCTTTATCACTCCATCTCATGGAATTTCTGGAGAAAATAAGCTCGACCTCGTTATATGTACGTAGATCTGAGCCGGTCACCGCACCGACTGGCTATCTGAGCGGCTCGACTCGGATAAGGAGGTTCCCAGCTCCACCGGCGCTATCCTTATCGTGCCGAACAGACGGCGCCGGTCCAGCAGAGGTCGATGTCCGTGAGACCCGCCGATCGAACCGACGACTGACAGTGTCAGCGGCACCGGCGAACGGAACAGCAGACGAAGGCAGCTATCGCCTCAGTCGTGTCGTGTTGTCTTGATATTGTAAGAATTCTGAAGTTGTGAAGTGGTGCATGCAGGAATAAAACTAGAAGTGATTGGTTGACAATGGCTTCTTCAGCATTCTATGATGATTAAATTTTCTGATGATTTTTTTCTGGCACGGACTTAAGGTGCACGGGCAATTTCAAAACTCGACGAGTCTCCAGTACGAGCCCAGTTGCAGTGGGGGGTACAATTATGCGAGGTAGCAGTAGCTAATCGTTCCCATTCGCCTTGGACCCAGTGAGCTAATGTATTTCATTTTGCCGTCTCAAAGAAAAAAAAACTTCATGGCAAACGTTAAGAATGAATGACATTAAAAACATGCAGTTTAATTTTCTGTTTTCACGGTATGAATGCTCTTCGATTTGTGTTATCGAGCTTTTCATCACCGTATCTTCCAGCCTGGCATTGTGTGTTATTTTACAGTGGCTCCTGCCCCATACTAACCGCTCGACAAACGACTTCTTGGAGGCCTCTCCAACGGCCCCGTCCGATTCTGACGGCCATCTTTTGCTGCCAAATGACGGCCTGTAACGCCTCTGGTCGTCATCAGAGCTGACTCGGTTCGCAAAAATCCCAGTTTCCCCCGGCTACTGAAGCCGTTAATCGCCATTATTCCATTCAGGGTGCGCCCCCTTGATGGAGTTATGCGGAGGAGGGGAGAAGTAGAAAGATGGAATAAAGGGAGAGAGAGAGAGAGAGAGAGAGAGAGGGGGGGGGGAGAGGGATGGGAATAGAAAGAGAACTGGGGATGAAGACGAAGCAAAAGAAACAAAAGTTGCACAAGGAGAGGAGAGGAGAGAGAGAGAGAGAGAGAGAGAGAGAGAGAGAGAGAGAGAGAGAGAGAGAGAGAGAGAGAGAGAGAGAAAAAGAAAAGAAACGAAATCTGTTGGCAAAAACAGCCGAGTCTCCGTCAATGTTTCGTTGCAAGACGTCTCGCTGGTCGCTTCCTGCCGAGCGTGGCTCCGGTATTGGCAGCCGGCGTAGTAGTGTTTGTTCATTAACGAGTGCTGACTTCATTAACGATCGAGCCTCCGGAGCACGGCTAGAGGCTTGTCGTCAACCTCCCTCCGCTGCGGCCGAGAAGGTCGAACGGCCGGTGGGAGGGGGGGGGGGGAAGAGGAGGAGAGAGTGAGCGAGAGCAGAGGGAAGAAGAGTCTAGAAGAATGAATAGAAAAAAAAGAAGGGAAATGTATAGAATAGAAGAGAAAAGCAGTGAAGAGGATGTGAGGGTAGGCAATTTGATGGAAGGAGAATGAAGGGCTTGATGCCATGGAGATTTTTCATGAAGAAGCACCGATCAGGTTAAATATGTGATTAAGTCATGCACCTGTTCAAGATACGAACTAAGCACAAGTAATACAAACATGGCAAACAAATTCTGAAATAAATCATGCAGATCACAGCGCGCCCGGCGTTACCAAAGATTGAAGCAGCACGTTTTACATACGATACCCACAAGCGAATAACAGAATCGAGTGAGAATGAAAAGAAAATTGCTTCCCTGCTCATCCGCTTATGGGAACGAGAAACTGTCAGCATGATCCATGCAATTCGCAATTGTTTGCATCGGTCGGTCTCTGATCCGGATCGCAGAAAATGATCAGAAGGGCAGTGAACTATTCAAAACAGCTATGAAAGCGACGCATCTGGACAAGCGTTACTTTTTTAGCAGTCCCCTGTCATGGTGCTTTTACATAAATCATATACAGAATACAGCAGGCTGCATTTCATCACAGTTGCATCAGTAGCAGCAAAACACCTTCAATTAAGGGGGGGGGGGCACTGCCGACTTTTGGTCCCATTATTTCCATGCAACGCCCATAGGGCTAATGTTAAAATGCCAAAATCAAAGGAGGGCACGGTGCCCCGGTGCCCTCCCCGTTCCGCCGCCTATGAGTTACATACCTGTGGCCAATATCACTGCCGGCGTGTGCGGGCGGTTGGGGTTCGCCACGCCCCAGTCGCAGTCTCCGTAGTCAGCCGCGGAGTTTACCTGCAATGGTAGGCTGCACCGCATTACACTCAGGCTCGCCGGCACAGTCTATCTCTACTAAACAAGGCGACGGACTGCGGGCTCGGCGTGCCGGCGCGGTGGTACAGCGTACCCGGTGGCCGGCAGCGTAGGTATCGGTAAAAACCGGCGGTAGTTCTTCGGAATATCTATCAAAGGAGCTTTATTACACGACGTCGTACTGTCACCAGGATGAAATAAACCCGCCTACACGGCTAGCAACAGGACCTGCACTGAGTTCAATAGCACGTTGCTTGCTCTAACTATTGTAAAGCGTAACATCGCATAATATGCACAGAAAAGTTTCACTTCGCTTTCAAGACGGTATGATTTTCTGCGTCTTGCATTGTGTGAGATCCGTCCTAAATGCTCAATTTGTGTGGCTCACCAGATCACTGACTGTAGACAGCACTACCTTCAGTAGAAGCATACGATGCTTTGATGTCGGTTCATTGGCATCGGTATATTCTGTATGCCGCATTTTCCAGGGAAACACTACACGTCTATTGAATGTGAATTTGTCCTTGATTAAGTTAACCCGATGACAGCTCTGTGTGGATGCAAAATAATTTATAAATGTAACAAACTGACTTTACAGTGGCCATGATTATTGTTCACTACAGATAGAGAACCTCACTCATATATTCAGGATTCGCATCGCATGAAGGCCAGACGTAATTTACATCCCAGCTACATTAAATTACTTCTGAGAAGAGCTGAGATTGCACATAAGAATGCGAGTAGCCACGAGTAGCCGTAACCAGTGAGGGATTGACGACTCATGCGATCAGCGATAACGAATCAAGTCACCTTGTTAGCGAAGCTGAGTTACCGACTTAGTTCCTTGAATGGCAATCCATGCAAGAAACTTCACAGATAAAGTTGGCAAAGTGGCCACTTAGTTCGCTTTACGATGCTGAGAAGACTATTACCATAATGTGTTTACTGTAAGCTTAAATATCCCAAACACATTAGGCGGCAGGAAAAATAAAACAGGCTTTCATATGGCACCCCTAAGGGAACCCCTGGGTATGGACCTGACCTTTCTGTCTGTCGTTCCTGATGGGTCACATGCTCTGAGCAGCTTTCCGAGGCGGCCAGCGGCGACCGCTGCTCGTGCCCGGAGGGCAGTAGGCCGTGCTCTGCGCTGATTGGTCCGTCGGGACTACAGACGACCCCGGCCGAATGATGTCAAGGTCACGAGTGGAACGCATCGGTCGCTGCCCTCCAAACGAATGGGAGACTGTGAAATCACCTCGTCAGGAGGGATACAATATAATGGATGCTTGTTGGCGACAGAGATTCAGCATGGGAAGTTCTTTCTGAGCTATTTGATCGAACTTCTAAAGCATCATTCACAAATAGTATTGTCAGCTTTCATTCTGGACCGTGTATCTGCTAAATTAGAATGAAACTCGTATTTATCTGTGGCATGGCATAACAAGATGATGTCATATTCCACAAGATGTATTCGTGATTTGAATACCTAATGAGCTAAATTGATGCAAGCAATTGATAACGTATGTTCTTTTGCAAACGCATGTGTGTTTAAAAAAGACGCTGAAGTATGTATGTATGAGTTTGCATCAAATCGGTTTATTTTTATACAGGGTGGTTTAATATGCAAAATTGTGTTGCATGGCAAGGAAACAGCGTAACCTGACGTTTCTGTTCATTTATTAATAACACGAAGCCCTGCCGCTCATTTCACTTTTACAACAGATTGATGGATGGACATCATTTGTGCCAAATTGCGACACAAGTGAAGCATGCAATGAACATATAAATAATCTAGCCAGACTAAAACATTACTTTCAATTGTTTATGCTCCAGTCTATGAAACCCATGGGCCATATTAAAGTACCATGTACTTGAACCAGCAATCACATGAGAAACACTCCACGCATAGACGTTCATTCATACGTGCGCACGTGCCATGCCGTGAGCGTCTCGGTGACGGCGAACTGACCTCTCCGACGCGGACGGCGCGGTCGGGGCGGCACGGCGGCCGGCGCCGACACTTTCAGTGCGCGCCCGTCGGCGGTGAGCTGTGGACCGGCCCCGGCGCACTCAGGGCGCGCGGCGCCGGCGTGCCGATGACGGTCCGGGCCGCGCTGTTGTTCGCTGCTCTCCTGGTGGCCGCGCTCGGCGCCGAGGGCACCCCCGGCCGGCGGCGCCGGCACGGCTGGCCGGCTCTGATGTCCGAGCCGCTCTCCGGCCGTCGGCACTCACAGACGCACGGCTCGGTGCGGCGCAGTCTGGCCCTGTCTGACGGCTCGTGGAGGCCCGGTCAGGGAGCGGTGCCGAGACTCCGGCACGGTCACGACCTGCGGCGCCGCTGGGAGCGGCAGCGGACCCGCCGGAGGGGACGTGCCGAGGCAGCCGTCGTCTCTGAGTGGCCGGCGCACGCCAGCGAGACGCCGCCGCCGTTCCGCATCTCGGACACGCTGACAGAGATTCTGACGGAGTCGGAGGAGCAGTACCTGCGGGCCCTGACCTCCCATCAGGAGCTGGCCGCCGCCGGTGACGGCGCCGGCAGCACGTCCCCGAACCCTCCGCAACGCACCGCCTCGCCCACGCCCGGCCAGCAGGACCCCGAGCTGGGTATTGTCACCAAATTCCTCCAACTGGTGGAGTCGCAGCAGCGGCTCGGAGAGAACTGCACAGCCGGAACAGACTTCCAGCTGGAGGGTGTCGTCGACCGCTACGGCCAGGAGCGCTTCAGGTACCAGGCCGAGCTGACTGTCAAGATGGCCAACCTCCTCACCAGGCTGTGGAAGTTCTCGCCAGATGTAATGGACAATGAAAACTTATTAAAAGCGCTGGTGTTATCACTTACTGAGGCGGACGATGACATTTTTGCCGCCGGGAACTGCTATGACCAGAAACAGTACAAGGACTATCACTTGTTTTGTCCGTTCGCTTATCGGCTCCCCGAGGGCCCTATCCTGCTGAAGGATTTGGCTGTCGAATACGACTACCTTTCAAACACGTCCGAATGGTACTTCACTGCCAGGAAGAGGGCTGCAAAACTCATCAGAGAAACGGCAGGCCGGCCTGAACTTGGTAAGCGGATAAATTAGAGCGCTGGTGTGACACAACCATTTTCAGTGTTTATTGCGATACACATACAGTTCCTTATTAGAGGCACAAAAGTAGCATTTATTTACAAATGTTTTTTGCTGTGTCCTCTTGTTGACATTTCAAGCTAGATCATCCAAGGCAAAACCTTCGGTAAAATGTAGCACAAACTGACAATATAACAACCCATAACACTGATTTTATGCTCAATGCAACTCATATAATTACTATGAGATTTATTAACATTTCAAAAATAAACTTTGCATAGTTATGCATGTTGAAAAAATGACAGAATTTTCACAGCACCACTGGCATCAGCTGGCTGCGTTCGTTTCAATCAGCTGCAGACCATCCCCGTCAGGAGTCTCGTATATCGAGCGCCGGGACGACGATCGAACCCGGGCTCGCACCACTGCTTGCAACCGAAGTGCATGCCATGCTCTTCTGAGTACTCACAGACTACGGAGCATTGCGGCTTATAGTTTGTTTCAAAACATATGTGACGGTCATTATAACAACAAAACATTATAAAGAGCTCTGATGAGGAAGAAAAAAAACTTATCAATTGTGTTTGCGAAGGAAGCATACTTTACCTTGTACATTACAGATACATATATTGCGTATTTAAACACTTCTATGCACTGATACTGCTTAGCAACGATCAGTAGCATTTTTTTCCAAAGCGCCTTTCAGCCTTCACCCAAGTAAGAAGGCATCTGATAGTCTCCAATCGGCTTTTCTGGTGCCCTGGGTCCGCGATAAGCCGTGAAATTCATACGAGTAAGCCGCGGAATTCATATTTATAGCAAGGTCTGCGACAAGCGAGGTAAAATAGCAAAATAATCTCGCGTCAAATACAATCCAATTCAAATTTAGATATGCTTAAATGTTCGTAGATTGCAATATTTGTCTAGATATCCGTTTTGTTTGCAAAGTTTATTCATCGACATGTACACATATATGCCAATGTATTATACAATGGTCTAGGTTATTCTTACCTAAAGCATGACAGCGGAAGAAAATATCTAGACAAGTCGCCCAATGTCGCTAGCTAAGACAGTAGCACGTCTGTTTTAGGACGTTAGAAGTTCGTGGAGTTGTTCTACGTGATAAATACAGGGTGTTGCAGATAAATCCGACACTTGAGAGGCAAAATACGAAATCGGCAATGAAAGCATGAATATTGCACATACAGGCCTGGGATTTTATTCAGCACCAGTTCGAGTCATATGCTGCACTTCTACTCGATGTAACCGCCGTCGGCGGCGACGACCATCTCAAGCCGAGGGCGAAATGATTCGCACGCCTTGGCGACCGTGTCCTTGTCTACGGCGGCGATTTCTGCCACGATGGCGGCCTTGAGAGAGTCGACGGTATTGTGTGCGTGCTTGTTGGTCTTTGCCTCGATCACGCCCCAGAAGAAATAATCGAGGGGGTTGCAGTCAGGAGAGGAGGGCGGCCACAAGTCCGGCGACCAGTGGTGAGGGACGTTGTTGAGCAGCCACGCCTGCGTCGTCCTGGCCTTGTGCGCCGGGGCGGAGTCTTGCTGGAAGACGTGGGGGCGTCCGTTGGCGATCCTGTGTTTGTGTTTTGGGGGAGGCAATTGATCATAGAGATGTAACATACTGCCCAACTTTTCATCGTGAGCATAGCACTCGAATAAACACGTTTTTTCCAAGTGTCGGATTTATCTGCAACGCCCTGTAAGTTAGCCAGCAGGCCACACTGTAAGCGGCATGCCCGGTCATATGGGTGAAATTAGCCGTTTTCACGACGGCCATCTGGTACACATTTGGTGCACATCTGGTGCAGATTAGGTGCAGATTTGGTCAAATAAGGTTCAGTGAGTCTCTTAATAGCTATAAGCAAGGATTGCACTAATTGCTTATATGCCTGCTTTGTCATATTATCAGAGAGCATCATCGATTAAAACACTGAAATAAATTCATAGAATACAGATATTTGCTGTAAAAGAGATTAGGTGCATGATTCGGTCAAATTAGGTGCACTCTCCGGATAGTCCGTCGTGAAAACGGCTAATGCCGTCATATTCGGGACAGGAAGCACATATTCCATCAAGCTTACCAAGCTAGAACGTATTTTTGCGAAAGATAATGCGTGCCTCTTTTATGTTATTTCAGTATATCTCTTTTCGTTCCACTTGAGGCTGTTCTTTTGACAAATACTGCCTCTCCAACACTACCAAAAATTGAAGCATGTAGAAACGTAAAAAAAATAAAAGGTGGCTGGAGGCTGGAGCACAAACACTTCGTCCAGAGTACGTGTAACACATGATTGAGAAACATTTGCAAGGGATCCAACATGTGCAAAAATCAAGCCCCCATTATCCATCTCATCATATCACATCAAAACATGGCGCAGTTTAGTTCGGATGCTAGAGACAAGTATTATTGATTGTACCCTAGCCTATGCAACATTTTGCATCATTTTTATGACCACTAATGCATGCCGGAAAAAATGGGATTTACATTTGAAATGCCACGCGAGGTAAATGTGCCGATTCATTACAAGGAACAAGACAATGCCCTTAGCAGTATTGTCTTTTATTATCTGAATGAGTATCATCAGTTGTTTTCGAACAATGGCTAATTGTTCGAACTTAGAACATCTATCACTGCTGCAGTAAGATAAGAAGTCACGGAATTTTTCATTGAAGGCGATTATTTTAGGCAGATGTGAATACTAAATACGTATCACCCAGCAGCGTTTTTAAACCAACTCTTCTCATTTAATCAAAAACTACTCGTGAACTGTTATCAAATAGGCAAACCCAGTGATCACAGGTGACATATCTTTATAGTTAAAAAAAAATGCAACAGCGAAAACAAAACATGCAAAAGAGCTTGGCTTACAAAATAAGTGGTTACGAATGAACCCATGACACGTGTGCTTACATGCCTATGTTAAACCTCATAATGCCCCACACCACAGTTTTCTAAAAATAAGCTCGCTCAGTGATCTCTAATATAGGGTCAATGAGGTACTGCATAGCGCTACGAAAACCAAGTTTACGGCTACGGAGCTGGGCCTAAATCCGGGCCCGATTGGATTGATAGCCCGATTGTGTCTATAGCTTAGCCATGGGTTCACGTCGACTTCAGCAGGGTTATGGAGTACATGTTGAAAGGCTGCACACCGTCGTGCATGCTGCCCTATCGGTAAAAAATGCGCGTGATGGGTGCTAAAAACGGGCGGAGCCGGTGCTTGAAACGGACGGGGCGGAGTGCCATCAGCCGCTATGTGGAAGCGTTACTTATGCTTTTAGGAAAACGAATGAGTTCATATTTGGCACTCATTCAGGCGTTATTCTAAGTATTAATTTCTCGGACTTGCGTTAGTTACTTAAAATACTTCATGGCTCGAATTATTTTAATGATTTTGAGCGCTACTTTGGTCGTTGTATGCCACAGTCTCTATGAATTGCTCTACGTTGACCGATATTACAGCCCACAGTAACAACAATTGAACTATGTTGCATCATGACGCAACTTTAGGAGCCCGAGTGACTATGATAGTATGATGTGTTCCCAGGGAGTTGCAGTATTTGACGCTGTAAATTGCCTATCGGATGTCAAAGACAGTGATGGAGTACTGATATCACTCACGGCTGACACCTCCAAAATTCCGACCTCGTCCCGGGCAGCCCACGCCATTGAAAAGTCTAAGCAACTGGTCATGATCGAGTCTTGGTTAGGAGACACCCTGCTGACGTCACTTTGTCATTTTAGCGCCATGACTGGGAAGTTGGCGGTGCCTTTGAATTATATGTTCTCTATACGCAACTGATGCTCGGTAAAGATTGGAAAGCACTTGCTTACAGGCCTACAAATTAATCACAAAATAATAGGCAGAAGCTGACTATGTTAACGGTTATGGAGATCGCGTATGCTAATAATTTACGTAATGCTTCCAAAGAAGAATTATTTTCACAGCAGGTACTTATCGTAATGAATGTAGCAAAAGTTTGGTAAATGCGACTATCATAATAGTTGAATTGTTGCCCGCGGTTGCCCTTACATGTTTCCGTATCACTAACCAGTGCTGATTTGGTTATGTAGGGCGTCTTTACTTTACTCACGAACTAAGCTTCAAACCCAATTTGACTGCATTGTATGGCTCCCACGTGTTTTATTTCGCATTGAAGTTGACCCCTGGTTAACTATAAAAACTGGGTACCTCTGAAAAGTCAGACATCGTCACGTTTTTGCTCGATATCGCTCGGACGTACTCTTAAGGTATAAAATTCCAGGAAATATTTTCACGATCGTCAATCAACATGTCTGTAGAAGAGGTGAGTCAACAGCAGACAACAGAAATACAGGTGACCATAGCAATTTGCTGATGTATTTGAGCGACAAAGCAACAACAAAGCGACAAAGAAACAACAGGCTGCAAGGGCACCTTGTCTAGATCGTTTTGAGCACTCCTTCACTTCACGATGGCCCTTTTTGCATTTATCGATGCTCTATGAAGGCCGCCTTGCACCCGATCGTTCACCCTTGTCAGTGGCTACTGGCTGCAGGCAGCTGTATCCGTCATTTTCCGGTGTCGGTGCCTCACCGTCCTAACCGCCCGGTAGCTGCAGCAGAATCGACCGATATAAAGAGTGGAATGCCACTCCGCAACATTACTAATAAATGCCACGCTGTCGAAGTTGTGCAATGAATGATATATCATTCAGATGCTGAACATTTTCCGTCATACCAGTTCCACTTTCTTAGAAGTGATAGTACTCAGCGTCAGCATTCAGCAACTGATTTTTTACGGCACACATGCTTTCACTTCCAGCGCCACTAACACACACCCACAACCACCCGACACTGTCCAGTCCCGGCGGACGCTCGTCCTCCTGTTGCGACACAGGCCGCGTCATACAATGGACACCGGAATACGGCGCCGGCCCCGGCTGCCTCGGGGCGTGGTCGATGCAGCAGCTCCCTGCCTCCGGCGGAAACTGTCCGATC